GGCATACCCGGATCCTGTCCCCTGGCCTGGTGACCCTGAAGGCCAAGACCACTGTGAGAGTCTTGGCCAGAACAGAGGACACGGCCACTGTGAACACCACAGCAAAGGTGGTCTGACGGAGGAGACATGTCAAGACACTGGGTCGCCCAAGGAACAGCAAGGCACACAGGGCACAGAGGCAAAGAGAGAGCAGGAGTAAGTAGCTGAGACTTCTGTTGTTTGCCCTGACTACAGGGCTGTCTCTGTGCTTCAGGAACACTCCCAGAACCAGGACAGCCAGACCAGCCAGGAAGAGTGTCACCAAAGCCAGCATGAATCCCAGAGGTTCCTCAAAGGCCAGGAAGATCTCTGTCCTGGGCAGGCAACGGTCTCTCGTGTGGCTCGAGTACTGCTCCTTGGGGCACAGAAGACAGCTCTTCATGTCTATGGGAGACACACAGACAACATTTATTTTCTTTTTTTAAGGTGTTTTTTATTATTTATTTTTTGAATTAAGAAATTTTCCATGCATCCTACATATCACTCACAGATTCTCCTGTCCTCCCTCCTCCTTACCCCCAACCCCCTCCCCAACCCACTCCCTAAGACCACCTCCTGCTAGGCAAGGTCTCCCAAGGGAAGTCAGCAGAGCCTGGCACATTCTGTTGAGGCAGGTGTAAGGCCCTCCTACCTGCGCCAAAGGTGTGCAAAGTGACAGACATCATTTCTACAACACAATATGAACTGCACCAGCTCTGAAGAAAGGCCTCCCAAGCACTAACTGCTCTTACAGCCTTTCCATCAAGTCATGTATTTATAAATTATTCCTGGTGATGAGGGCTGGAATGGCTGATATTAGAGGCAGAGAAACAGAGAAAAAATTCACAGTTAGTATCTGTTTTATGTGAGGAGGTTTTTTTTGGTCTTCAAACAGTGTCTCGTGTAACTCAGGCTGTCCTTGAACTTGTTGAATAGCAGAGGATGATCTTCAACTCCTGAGACTTCTTCCACATCCTCTCAAGTGCTGTGATTAGAGGCCTGTACCACTCTACCTAAATTGTGTGAGTTTGTGTATGTGCAGGTTTGGGTGTGCACACATACATGTAAGTGGATGCACATTCTTGTCAAGACCAGACATTATCATCAGATATTATTGCTCAACCACTTCCCCTTCCTTATTTTTCTAATCAAACTTATTTGTATATTTTGGTGCGTGTATGTGTGCATGGGCTCAGACCTGCCAAGGTGTGCACGTGGAGGTCAGGACAACTGTCAGGAATTTGGTGCTCACCTTCCTCCATGTGGGTCCCAGGAACTGAACTCACACTGTCAGGGTTGACAAGGAATACTTTAACTGGTGAACCATTTCACCAGACTCTGAAGCTTATTATTTTGTAATTCCTTATTTTATTTTACTTCTTGACTGTTTTGTCTATACCTAGGTATGGAAATCATGTGCATGCCTGGTGCCTGCAGAACTCGGAATTTGCCATCAGTTCCTTGAAACTGGAGGTACATGGGTTTGTGAGCCACCATGTGGGTGTTCCTAACTGTTGATGCATCTCCTCAGCCCCCTTTTTACCTTAGGTTTTAAGACAGGATCTCTCACTGAACCTGAACATCACTGAGTTGACTATACTGGCAGACCAAAATCCCCAAAGTCCCTCCTGCCTCTGCCTCCTGAGTGCTGAGATTATAGGAATGTGCCAGTACAACCTGTCTCCTCTGTGAGTTTTTTTTTTTTTTTTTTTTTTGGTTTTTCGAGACAGGGTTTCTCTGTGTAGCTTTGCGCCTTTCCTGGAACTCGCTTTGGAGACCAGGCTGGCCTCGAACTCACAGAGATCCACCTGGCTCTGCCTCCCAAGTGCTGGGATTAAAGGCGTGCGCCACCACCGCCCGGCCTCTGTGAGTTTTTAATGGTTCATTTCTTTCCAAGAGTATCAGTAACTAGTCAAATTAAAAGGGTTTAACACTGAGCTGTGCCCCCAAAATTCATTTCTTCAAGTCCTGTCTCTAAGCACCTCAAAATGGGACATACTTTGCCATAAGGAAACTGGAGATGATGTAATAAAGTTTAAATGGTGTCCCCAGGTTAGAATTAGTCCCTATTTCCAACAGGGCTGCTATCCTGTTAAGAAGAGGGAATTGGGGCTGGGTGTGTCTGGAATGACTTCAATCTCAGTACTTGAGGGACAGAGGCAGGTAGATTTCTATCAGTTTGGGGACGACTGGTCAACATGAGGAGTGACGAGCCAGCCATGGCTGTGGGTGAGACACTGTCTCAAAATCAAACCACACACCAAAAACAAGAGGATACAACACACACACACACACACACACACACACACACACACACACACACACACACACACACACACACGATGAAATGAGAGCACACAGTGAGGGGATGACTGTGTCAGGGCAAGAGTGAGGCCACACACAACACGAACCCTGATGATAATTTTGCTTTGCATTTCCTGCTTTCAGAATGGTGAAGGAATAAGTTCTGCAGCTCAAACAGTATGGAATGTGGTGGTCTGCTGCCATTCAACCTCTGGAATGAACCCCACTAATATATAGGAGGAAGAAAATCACAAAAGAACATTTACCATTCATTTCCACTTACAAGAGGTTTAAAAAGCAAGTGAAATTCATCAGTGTGAGCAAAAGCCAGGGGTCTGTTACAGGACTACTAGAAGATTCTGGAAGTAGCTGATTCTTGATTGGAGGCCAAGGATGTGCAGTGTTTGCTAGGGGAGTATTCATTCTACACCCCAATTATGGGTAGTTCACTTGTCTGTCTCAACAAAGCATGTAACTAAGAACAGCTGTAAGATTAGGGTTCTGGCTGGTGTCCACAGAAAAGCAAAGACTGCAATATTTCACTGGATGGATGTGGTGATTTGACTGTAAATAACCCACAGTCTCATTATTTGAATGTTTGGTTCATAGTTGGTGGACTGTTGGGATGGATTGGGAGTTGTAGCCTTGTTGGATGAAGGGTGTCAATGAGGGTGGTCTTTGAAAGTTCAAATTCCCACACTAGGCACACTCTCCACCTCTCTGCCAGCCAGGTACCTGTAGATCAGAAGGTAAGATCTCAGCTACTGCTGAAGTGCCATGCCTGCCTGCTTCATGCCATGCTTCCTACCATGATTGTCATGGACTTACCCTTTGATACTCTAAATAAGGCCCCAGTTAAATGCTTTTCTTTTAGAACCTGCCTTGGTCATTATGTCTCTTCACAGCAGTAGAACAGTAACAAAGACAAAGGACACGTACAGGAGGCTCACAGTGCCCTCTTGACCCTCAGATTCCAGCTCCACATGTCCTTACCTCTTTGGTCTGCAAACTGTCCCTCAGGGCAGGGACTGCAATCAAAACAGCAGTGGGGGACTCCCAGCCTGGGCACTTGGCTGAACCCTGGAAGGCAGCTTTCACTGCAGACAGAGCTGGGCACCTAGTAACAGTGAGCATAGTGTCACCAAGGACTCTCCAGGAATACAGATGCTTGACCTCAGCCTGAGAACCAGAACAGAACAGTTTCCTCACATAACTCTAGATGACATAGATGACTGTCAGAAAAAATATCTATCCCATCAGATTCCAGACTGGAGAGGTACCTTTGAATGGTGTATAGGAATGACTACATCTGACTTACTTGACTAAGGGATTCAAAAACATAGCTAAACAGTTGGATATGTTGTCTTTCCAGTCCCTCTGGGAATCCTATACCAACAATTAAAGGTATTGGGACAGGAGAGAAGGCTCAGTGGTTAAAAGTGCAGGCTGATCTTTCAGAAGAGCAGGGTTCAATTCCAAGCCCCCAAATAGCAGCTCACACTGTAACTCCAGTTCCAGAGGATCCAGTGTCCTCTTCTGGCCTGAACAGACACCAGGCACACACAACAGTACACAAAAATGCATGCAGGGAAAATTCCATATATGCAAAAAAATCTTTGAAAAGGATTTTAAGTATTGGCAGCCTGGACATGATTTCCTTGATGTTCATGGCTTTCAATTTCTTTCTCTGAAGCTCTCCACAACCTTGGGGCTGCTTGATGTACTCCAAGTTTAACTCAGAAGACATGATAGTCTCTCTTACTTTTCTCCATCTCCCATGTGAAGCTGTTAAGATTTACAGTTTGACTACACTGCGATTTTTCACTTAAACCCTAATAATAAAATATCATCCGGCTTCAATAAGAGAAAAATTTAAGTACTGACTCCCTCAACACACACAGACACATACACACACACACACACACACACACACACACACACACACACACACACACACACACACACATTCACACCACACTTTAATCATCCTCTCCTTTACCTTGGACCTGCCAAGGATGACTCAGTTTTTCTTAGCAGAGCTCTACCTCCAGGGAAGGATTAGGAAGATGGAAGTGTGGTATACTGACATCACTGGCACATCAGAAGACAGCAGAAAACCCTCCCATGATCAAGGCCATTGAAAGGTTCTTCAAAGAAGTCCTTGGAACACATAGCATGTGTCCTTTATGCTTGAGAAATATAAGAAAGGGAACCTCATTCTCATGTGGAAAGCCTTAAGGCCACCATTGACGGGAGATGCCACCAGAACAAAGTTAGATCAAGTTGTAGAGGAGAGAACTCTATGTACACTGGTATTAGGCAGCTGAGGCATTTCTATGCACCAGACTCCACACATAGACATAACTATCTCAACACTACTTCTGATTGTGATAGTAAATGTCTGGGCTTGAACCTCAAATGTTTCCCAAAGTCTCCTGTGTTGGACCACTGGTTATGTGGCAGTGGGTATTTAAAGAATGATTGGATCTTGATGCCTGTGGTGGTTTGAATGTAATTGGCCCCCATAAACTCATAGGGAGTGGCACTATCAGGAGATGTGGCTTTCTGGAGTAGGTGTGGCCTTGTTGGAGGAAGTGTGTCATTATGGGGGTGGGCATTGGGGTATTATATATGCTAGACCATGCCCAGTGACCCAGTTCACTTCCTGTTGCCTGTAGGTCAAGATGTAGGACTTTCAGCTCCTTCTCCAGCATCATGTCTGCCTGCAAGCCACCATGCTGCACCAAGATGGTAATGGATTAAACCTCTGAAAATGTAAGCCACCCAAATTAAATGTTTTTCCTTTATAAGAGATGTCATGGTCATGATGTCTCTTCACAGCAATAGAAAGCCTAAGACAGAAAATGATTACTGGGATTGGGGTATTAAAGTGATAGGCCTGATCATGTTATTGTTTGAATAAATATGGATCATGGGAAAGTCGATTAGAAAAGCAGTAGAAAGTTTTAAGTGGTGCTTACTGGCCCATTCTAGTAGGAGCACAGAGACCGAGGTGCTAAGTGTGATTAGATGAACAGTAGGCATTGCTCAAGAAGTTTCAGAAGAGAAGAATACTAATGTGTGACCTAGAGATTGTTCTTTTGATAATTAGTTGAAGAGTGTGATTGCTTTTTGCTCTTGTCCAAATAATCTGCCTGAGGCTAAAATGAAGAGTTTTGGATTAATTCCATTGGCAGAAGAAATTTCAATATAGCCAAATATAGACTGTGTCCTGTGGTTGTTAGTGTTAACTCTAAGAAAGATTTATAACGAAAAGGAACAAGCTGAGCCAGGAAAAATATGAAATATGTATAGTTTGAGGAGAAAAGGAACACCAGGACCTGGAATGGAGCTACGTCCTGTGTTCAAGGTGATAAACAGATTAAGAAATGGAATAAGGGGATTGGTGACCACAGGGCAAGATCCCTCTCAGCTAAATTTCCAACTTGTGAAAAGGAATTAAAGAAAAGCTTAAAGTCAGGTATGTGGTGCACAACTTTAGTCCCAGAAATCAGAAGGCAGATGCAGGTGTATCTGACTTTGAGGCCAGCCTAGTCTACAGATCCAGTTTCAGGACAGCCAAGCTTGGGCAGTGAAGGAAAACATCAAAAACAGAAAGCGATAAACATGTAATTGAATGAGAGGGCCATGTTCCAGTACCAGTAAGCAACAGAACTTGGCAGTTTGGCTATGTGGTTCTGGCTCTTAGGCTAGAAGAAAAGTGTTATGGAAATTGCCTCTGAGACTATGGAAAGCTGCTGAGGCAAGTCATGTGTCCAGGAAGTCCCTGAATGGAGGCCTAAAGAGGTCATTGCTTGAAGCTTTGAAGATGAAGCCTGAATTGCCTTGAAGTTCCCAAGATGTTGGAAATGCCAGAGCCGTGGGATACCCGCTGCTGAGAGCTACTAACAGGGAGTGGAACCAGCCCAAGAGAGAGAAGTGTGTTGCAGTTAACATAGATGAAAGGAGTTGGAGTTTGAGGAACGTATTAACAACTGACATAAATATGCAGTTTAGAGCTTTCCCACCTGGTCACCTGTCCTGCTTTGGTCCACTATTTCCTCACCATGCTCCCTTTTATTCATTTGGAGCAATAAAGTACATCCTGTGCCATTATATGTTGGAAGAATGTGATCTGTTTTTTTTAACTTTGATTTTATAGGGGATTATAGTTAAGAGACTGCATGAATCTCAAAAGAGACTTTGAACTTTGGACATTTAAACATTGTTTCAACTATGATAGACAGTGAGAATTTTGGAAATTGGACTCAATGCACTTGCATTATGATAATTTTACAAGCATAGAGGGGTAAGGAGTGAAATATGGTGGTCTGAACATAATAGGCCTCTATAAGCTCATTGGAAGTGGCACTATTAGGAGATGTGGATTTGTTGGAGTAGGTGTGGCCTTGTTGGAGGAAGTGTGACACTAGAGATGGACTACAAGGTCTCATCTGTGCTCAAGTCACACCCAGTGACCCAGTTCACTTCCTGTTGCCTACAGGTCGAGACGTAGGACTCTCGGCTCCTTCTCGAGCACCAGTTCTGCCTGCATGCCACCATGTCCCATAAGGATGATAATGGACCAAGTAAACCTGGGAAAACGTAAGCCACCTCATTAAATGCTTTTATTTTATAAGAGATATTGTGGTCATGATGTCTCCTCACAGCAATAGAAACCCTAAGTAAGACAATGCCTCTGACATAATCAATGTATTAATTCCTCAGTGGATTAATAATTTGACTAATTATTCTACATATTGGAAATAGAACATGGGATCTAGTTAGGATTAGTGGGACACTGGGGCTATGCACTGGTAAGATGTAACTTGTTTACCTATCTAATCAATCTGGCTCCCCACATTCCCTACCTGTGCCCTATGAATGGAGCAACCTCTTCCACCACACATGCCTGCTGCCACGCATGACATACTGCCTCAAGCACACATACACACAAAAAAATGGATATATCTGAACTTGAATCTCTCAAACCAAGAGGCAATTAAAACTTTTCCTCACTTCAAACTGTGTCTCAGGTATTTGTCATAGTGGGTGAAAAAATATTAACACAACAAGTACACTGAGTGTCTGTTGAGTCTATGTCCCAGATAGACCATGGGAAAGTAAGTCACTATCATCCTCTTCTCAGAGCAGGTCCTGAACACAGACACTGAAAATACTTCCAAGGGAGCACCAGCTGCAGATACTCATTCTATTTTCTACGTCTTTTATGTTCTCCCCAACATTATTTTTATATGTGTATGTGGTGTAAATATTTGTATGTGCACTTATACATCCATGTGGGTTCATGTTCTTGAATGGACAAGTATATGTGGAGGCCCAAGGTTAAAGTTGGGAATCATCCTCAACTGCTTTTCCACTATGTTCATTAAGGCAGAGGCTCAAAGTAAAACCCAAACTTCAGTGATATGACTAGTCTTACTAGCAAGTTTGCTTTGTGAATCTCCTTTTCTCCACCTTCCAAGACTGAAATTACAGGTGGAACACACTGGCCACTCATCGTGTACAAGTGTTCTGGAGATCCAAAGTCTGGTTCTTGTACTTGCATACAAAATACTTTAACCACTGAGCCATCTCCGAATACCAGCTTTTATATTTTCATTTTGGTTTGTGAATCAAGATCATGCAGAGAAAGATCTCTTATGAGGTAAACAGCATAGCCAGTTATCCCTGACTGGCCCAATCTAGGGCTACATCTACTTCATGCACAAATGGAGATGAGGAATCCTGGACTTGGAATTTCCCTGTGATCTTAACATACTTGGACAAGAGTCATCTCTGCATTCAGGCAACTCACATGAAGATCCTCCATCAAATGGAACTTCATTTTGTTCCCCAAAGAGACTTGAGGGTCTATCGTGCCTACATGGACCAAGTGAAATACACCCTCAGGGGTCTTCTGCCCTTGGAGAATGTCAAATTTTGTCACCAAATCTCCATTAGCATCAAATATAATTTCGCTTCCATCAGGAGTCTTGAAGTGCACCTTCCTGAGGGCTTGAAGCAGCTGAAAACAGAAGGGAGACATTATACACCAACCAGGGCAGGTCTGGAGTCTTGTCCAAAATAGCATATACCATTCACCTCTGCAATGGTACAGAGTCACTTCAACCATGGACTGGTCCCATTGGGCATGGGGAAGATCACAGACCTGTGATATTTTCAGGGACTTCCAAATATGTTTTAGCTTTAATAAAGTAATAATACATAATATTTAATCAAGATAATTTTAAACCTAGTACAGTGTGTGTGTGTGTGTGTGTGTGTGTGTGTGTGTGTGTGTGTGTGTGTGTGTGTAGCTCACTCATATTGTGTAATCGAGAGAACAACTCTCAGGAATGTTCTCTCCTGCTGCCATGGGGGACTCAGAATCCAACTTATGCTTGGAGACAAGTGCCTTTACCCAATGAGCCATCTCAATAGCCTTAAAATTAAACCCAAAAACCTGACAATGTGGTTCCTGCTCCAGGGTCTCATTTGGCTGTGCACTACTGTCCTCAGTCTTCCCATCACACTCAGTAGACTCCAAATCCTAGCAGGACTTCCACAGACTGGCCCCAGCCCACCTAGACCACCCATTCACTCCCAACAGTCTCCCATTATTCATCAGTCCCGCCCATGATGCTCTTCTATTTGCTCCATTCTAGGGTCTTGACACATGCTGTCCCTGCCATCTGCAATGCAATCACTTCTACCCATGGTGAGACTTCTCATCCTCTTGTCTGGAACTCACATATTTCCATACCAAGAGAATGTTTATAGCCTTTCAGCTCCTCACACAACTTACTTTATATCTTCATTATAGATTACACACAGACATTGCAACACTCACATATTTTAATTTTGTGGCAGGATCTTGCTTTGTAGTCCCAGTTGGCCTCAATATCCTGTGTGCTAGGATGACAGGCATGGGCCTCCAAGCCTGGCTTCCTATAAATTTTAATCTGTCACCCACAGCCAGAATGCCAACAACTATCACTCTCCTTCTGGTTTACAACCATATGTATCTTCACCAGGCACATACAGGAAACTCAGGTCATCTGAGTTTCGGTAATGAAACCATACCCCCTCCTTGGCAATGATTCTCACTGTTTACCTCATCAGTGAGCAACGTGTCTTCCAGGGGTCCTCTTACCAATTGGGACCTTTTCTACCCTGAGTGCCTTGGAAAAGATAAACAGATATATAGATTGATAGATAGATATATGGATGGATGGATGGATGGATGGATGATGGATGGATAGACAGACAGACTTCAGACAAATTTAAAGACAGATAAAGACTCAGGGCAAAATGGCCAAAATATATAGATAAATGTATGAAATTATCAATATTCTTAAAATAGAAAAATAAATAAGGGCTTAGGAGATGGCTCCGTGATTAAAAAACTAGTCATCAACACTTGAGTATCAGCCTTCAAATCTCCAGGATGCATGTAAATGTCAGGTGGATGTGGCAGCCAATCTCTACTTACATCCTCAGAAGGTGGAGACAGGAGATGCCCAGACCAAGATGGCTAGCAAGACTCAACACATCAACAAGTTCTGGGTTTGAGTGAAAGACTCTGCCCCAAAGCAAGATAGAAGAGGATTGAAAGATGATTCCTCATCATCCTAGGCCTTCCCATATATTGTACACATGAGTGTGCTCCCCACAACATGTGTCTCCATGCCCACACACATGTGCCCACATACTTGTACCATATATCAAAAAAATAAAAAATAAATAAATGGCATTGGATATCTGTTTGAAATTCTGATTTTGCAGCATGCCTATGCTAAAAGTCATCAACTGTTTACCAAAAATTAAATTTGTGACACTAAAAAATCTATTTACTGTTATCTGAAATATTAATTTTACTAGGCATCCTGTATTTGCAAAGTTAGGCAAGCCACATGGACAGAACTTATCTGAGATCACACACATAGCATGGAATCCTTGTCCACTGCTCCTTCTAAGATTCCTCTCAGTTGCAAGTATGAGGCATCCTTGCTGGAGCATACAGTCAGCTTCACCTCTATACTCTAGTTGGAACCAATGTCCTCTTCCCCAAACATACCTGAATCACCCACTCCACATGCCTCTCTCACCTGCCAGGGTTGGACATCCTGAGAGTTGGTTACTTTCCCATGCTGGTGCCCATGGGTTATCATGTCTTGCAGGGCATGAGCAATGCTGTAGACAGCTGTGTAAGCAGCATCAATTTTACTCACTTCTGGGAAAGGATGCTGCTTGTTTTTCAGACTCTCATTCCCTGAGCACAACTGGACACCCTCTGTCATTGTGCTGCTCTGGTGGGGCCATGTACAATCAAAGGTGAACTCCCAAAACTTCTTTATAAACATGTCTTCGGGGGTCTGGCTGGGCCGGAGGTGAGCAAGGAACTCAGGGAAGCCAATTGCCCTGCTGCTGTGATACAGAAGGCCAAATGTGCTGTGCAGTACCTGGGAAATGCCTGGAATGGTGATGGTGAGCACCATGTGAAGAATGTTCTTGCTGACCCAGACCTGGCCTGAGACAGGGACAGCCAGTAAGCCATACAGGATGGGCTGGAAATTGGAACTGCTTAGGAAAACTAGAACAACCCTAGCTGTGGATTTTTGCATATTCTGGACAATCTCTTCAATCTTCCCCAGGGACTCATGGGAAGGAACATGGAGGGTGTACTCAATGCACACACCAGCTGTGCTCAGCTCCTGAGTGGCCAGAGAGCTGGCCTGCTGCCCAAAGTCATCATCATAGGCCAGAATGATCACCCAGGACCACTGAAAGTGAATTATCAGCTGAGTCACTGCAAGGGAGGATATGAGGTCACTAGTTACGGTTCGCAGGAAAGATGGGAACTGGATCTTGTCACTGAGGCTGGGTAGTGAGGATGAGTAACTGACCTGTCAAGGAAGAGCAAGGTGATAACAAAATGTATGAGATCTGGACTTAAGCATGGGCTGATTGTCTGGTTTAAATGGGGGAAGGAAGAGGATGGACACATGCTTCTGCAGTTAAGAGCCCTTATTGTTCTTGGAGAATACCCAAGTTCATTTCCTAGTACCCACATCAGGTTGCTCACATTGTCCTGTAACTCAGCTCCAGGAAATCTGATACCCTCTTCTGGCTTCCTCCTGCATCTGTAGCATAGATTCACACAGACATTTACATACACATGAATGTGTATTAAATTTTAAAACATAAATAATTTTCAGGGAAGGACTTGAGCATCCTGATTTGAGAATTGTGCTGGTTCTATAGGCAGCTGTGTGCCCCTCACTGGCTGATCATCCCTGACACAGCCCTGTGGCTTTTGGAATGAAGCCCAGAACCATAGCTTTACCTCCTCTGCTCTCAGCATCTGTCCTTCACCTGCCCCCTAATATTTCATTCTTGCACCTCGGCTTGGATTGGTATGACTCTCTGCTTTGCAACCAACTGTTATATTCTTCTTTTGAAATTCCGAGTGTGTGTGTGTGTGTGTGTGTGTGTGTGTGTGTGTCTGTCTGTGTGTCTGTGTGTGTGGTGTGGTGTATGGTGGGATAGTACATGTATAGAGGTCAGAAGACAAATTGTGGGAACTGGGTCTCTTCTTCCACCATGTCGATCACAGAGGCCGAATCTCACGTCATCATGCTTGGCTAGCAGCTTTACCCCATCAGCCATCTCACTCTCCCTGGTATGAAACAGTCAGTTCCTGATAGGAACCAACCTGCAAGAATAACAATCGGCTCTTATCACACCACCATTGTGAGATTTTCCAGTTTTCAGACAAATAGGAGTCTGGTTTGACATGTTGTCAAGGAAGAGATGGTACCATGTTCTCAAAAGAGAGAGTTCTTGGAGATGTGACGATTGGGGAATCTGTGTCTGTGTTTGTTTTGAGGGGCTCAGAATGTGGCTCTCAGCCTCAGGGTGTGAATGCAAACCCTTCTCCTACCACTACAAGATCTGTAAAAGTTTTATTGTCTTAACACAGAGGCCCTAGCATCTTGTTGGTTCATATTCAGTGATAAGGCTGACTCAATCTCATGCAGGTGGTCCTGCCAGGCTCTCCAATAAAACAGAAGATATTCAGTTAAGTTTGATTACAAACAATGATCATTTTTATAAACATATCCAATTACACATACATTTTTAACTAATGACAAATTATAGTTTAATGGAAATATTGAGAATAAGTTTGACTGTAAATAATTCATTGTTACATTGATATTCAAATATTTACTCTTTTCCATGCATGAATGTTTTGATTGTATGATGTGCACCACATGTGTGTCTGGTGTCCTTGGAGGACAGAAGGAGCCCCATTGCTGGAAATGGAGCTACAGATGACTGTGAGTCCCCATGTGGGTGCTGGGAATTGAATTTGGATCCACTAGAAGAGCAGCCAGTGAGTACTCTTAACCTCTGAAACATCTCTCCAGTTCCTGAAATTCAAATTAAACTAAATCTTATCAGGCAGCCCAACAAGTTCAAAAACTAGAAGTTCTTAAGGTAAGTTCAATATATCAAGTTTCTGCTCCGGTCACGATATTTCACAGCACTTAGGAATCACAAAAAAAAGGAACTAGAGTTCCGGGCTGCCTGGGTTACATGGAGAATTGGTGTCTCAACATACACACACACACCACCACCAATGACATAAATGAAGCTTTCTGTTGTGTATGTCATCATACTCAGAGTAAGAAATGAAGTTTCTAATCATTAAAATATCCCTAAATGAGATGGGATGGAAAGATGCCTCAGTGGTT